AGTGAAAATCAGACCTGAAAAAAATTCAGGCCTGTACGGGATTCGAACCACTGACCTCTGCGATACTAGTGCAGCGCTCTACCAATTGAGCTAACAAGCCAACTGGGAGCAGGCCATCAAATTAATTCGACAGAAACCCGTAGATGATAAATCAAGACGAAGATGTTTTCACTTTTTTAAAGAAAAAAGAATAGCACTTCATCCGATACCTTTTTATGGGGCCGATGACTCGGAGAAAAAGAAGAGAAGAAAGAAGTGGGTTGACTTTGTGCAATTGAAGCGTGCACATTGGAAGCCCACAAAATACTCGGCCGTGTGTTCCAACCACTTCCGAGAAGACTATTCATTCATGTTTTCTGCTCTGACTAGCGAGACCATGCAACGAAGGTTGCGAAAAGATGGAGTTGGAATTTGCGTCTTTCCGACTTTTCAAGCATGGAATGCTGAGGAAATGAAATCAGCTGACAGCCATCAAAGAGAAAGCTGAGAAAAATTTACTAAATCAGGCTTTAGAGATTCCGTCTCGTTGGGAACATATCGCTTTATATAACTTACTTGCTGTTTGTGAAACTTTTGATATACCCGAGGGCTCTTCCCTTTGCCGATGCCAGTTCTTTTAACTCAAACGTTGACAATGACTTGGTGTCTTGTCATCTTGACAATGACTTGGTGTCATATTTGTTGTGTTGTCAAAATTGTTATAGTTTGTACTTTGTACCGAGTCACGTGACGGGCAGTAAAAAGGCACTTGAAGTTCTTGAATGAATGGCGTCGTTCGGATCTTTTACGCTCGCCGATAAATAACACAACAATATTGTTTTCTGCTCTGACTAGTGAGACCATGCAACGAGGGTTGCGAAAAGATGGAGTTGGAATTTGCGTCTTTCCGACTTTTCACGCATGGAATGCTGAGGAAACGAAATTAGCTGAAAGCGATCAAAGAGAAAGGTGAGAAAAATTTACCAGATCAGGCTTTAGTGAAGGTTCCGTCTCGTTGGGAACGTATTGCTTTATATAACTTACTTGCTGTTTGTGAGACTTTTGATATGCGTGAGGGCTCTTCCCTTTGCCGATGCCAGTTCTTTTGACTCAAACCTTGACGACGACTTGGGGTCTGAACCTGACGAAGATGTTTTCACTATGCTAAAGACTACGATGGGCAACAACAAGAACTTTAAGATAGGACACATAAATATCAATGGTCTTACTAAATTGTCTGAAATTCAATTCCTATTAAAAGAAGTTGAATTCGACATTCTGGGCGTTACTGAGACCCACCTGACCATAGTCATATCAAATGAATTAATAAGAATATATGGTTACAATATGTTGAGAAGAGATAGATCAAATGGCTTGAAAGGCGGTGGTGTGGTAATATATTATCGCCACAATTTGAACATTTTTGAAAACCTAAAGTGGGACATTCATCAGGACTTGGAGGTTGTATGGATTAACATTACCATAAGATCACAGACTACTCTACTTGGCTGCCTATACCGACCACCTAAACCAATCACGTTTTATGATGACTTACATGACCTGCTTAATAAAATATAGGTCAAGAGGAAGAATGTGATATTATTAGATGATTTTAACTGTAATCTCTCACCTAATGCGGCAGATACAGATCAAGATGTGTCATATTGCCATAGTAGAATGAAAAGAATCATTAGGCATTTTGGTTACTTTAACATCATTGAATCACCAACGCGCATCACAGCTAACTCTAATTGACTTGTCGACCTCATTATTGTTAGTCCTAATTTGCAGGCATCAAATGTTTTAGCTAGTTCTATTGACCTAGGCATTTCAGACCATCATCTTATATTTGCTGCTTTTTCTACAAGGAGAAGTAATTCAAAGCCTAAGCTTAGTACAGTGAGGAACTACAAGGATCTGGATAATGAAAAAACTCCAGAGGATCTTAGAAGAAGCTCCATGGCATATTGTGTCTGCTGTAGAGGATCTTGAAGACAGTGTTTACTTATGGGAAACCATGTTTAAAGACATCATAGAGTCCAACATCAAACGAAGGAATGTGAAGGTCAGACACAAGTTGCTTCCCTGGATCAATACCAAAATAAGAAAGGCTATGAATCAAAGGTACAAGTGTTTAAAAGCTGCTCAAGGTAAACCCCATGATAATCCCCAGTGGGATATA